AACCACACAACATTTAGGTCAACATTTGACATATATCTGTCAATTAACCACACACAATTTAGGTCAACATTTGACATACATCTGTCAATTAACGACACAACATTTTGGTCAACATTTGATATATATCTGTCAATTAACCACACAACATTTAGGTCAACATTTTACAAGCATCTGTCAATTAACCACACAACATTTAGGTCAACATTTGACATACATCTGTCAATTAACCACACAACATTTAGGTCAACATTTGACATACATCTGTCAATTAACGACACACAATTTAGGTCAACATTTGACATACATCTGTCAATTAACGACACAACATTTAGGTCAACATTTGACATATATCTGTCAATTAACGACACAACATTTAGGTCAACATTTGACATATATCTGTCAATTAACGACACAACATTTAGGTCAATATTTGACATAAATCTGTCAATTAACCACACAACATTTTAGTGAAACAGTTAACATATTCCTGTCATTCAACAAAGTATTGCCTCGTTTATTTAAAGAAGAAAAAAAACAACACAGTAAGACTATTTCATAAAAACACCTTTGTAATAAATAATGTTGTAGTCCATCTTTGATGCATGTCATGGATCGGTAACAGTGTAAACAGCTTATTTGTAAACCACCATCAAGTCAAGAGCAGAAAACATTTAAATTTAAATTTAAACATAACATTAAAACACATTCGGGTCGGCATGAGAAAGATGAATCAATGAAATATTGACATTTTAAAAGACAGAGTGCAGCATCAGAGCCGTTGAGTGAGTTTTGAAGCCCCCACTGCCAATTTTTTTCGGGCTTGTCCCCCCCACCCCCTCAATTTACAGTTGATCGTTTTATTTCTCCATATCACAAAATTCGGGCCCTTTAATATCCAAGGCCCACTGCGGCCCCCTGCGTTTAGTGGCCCCACGTGGCTGCTCTGTGTAGAATTAATAACATATATTATGTACATTTAAATGGAAATAGCATATATTAAAATATGTGATGAATTATGTCTTTGGGAATAAGCGTGACTTGCAGTTAGCGAAAAAAAACATTATGGAGATCATCAAAATACAGATGGGCGATGAAAGCGCCTTGTACAGGTTGAGTCAAACAGCATCTCAAGGACACACGGACAGGGGAAGTCATAAGATAAACCTAATACGTCTGTACACAGAATCGGGTCGGTTGGAGAGGGGGCCTGATCGGTTTGTAGAGGAGACAGGTCAGGTGGAGAGAAAGAATGGTCACTTGGTAATGTCGTCTGGTCCGTTGCTAAATGTGCCCTTGTCAGTTGGTGTATTGGTCTGCTAAGTTGGTAGATGGCTCTTGTCGTTTGTGAATCGGCGTTGCCGGTTTTTTTGGATGAGTCTGGTAAGTTGGTAGGGGGTCCTGGTCAGGTACTAGGGGTCCTGGTCAGGTACTAGGGGATCCTGGTCAGGTACTAGGGGTCCTGGTCATGTACTAGGGGGTCCTGGTCAGGTACTAGGGGGCCTGGTCCGGTACTAGGGGGTCCTGGTCAGGTACTAGGGGGTCCTGGTCAGGTATTAGGGGGTCCTGGTCATGTATTAGGGGTCCTGGTCAGTTATGAGGGGAGCCTGGTCAGTTATTAGGGGGTCATGGTCAGGTATTAGGGGTCCTGGTCAGTTATTAGGGGGTCATGTTCAGGTATTAGGGGGTCCTGGTCAGGTATTAGGGGGTCCTGGTC